TGCGATAAATAGCCCTGATACGAACAAGTGAGTGCCTAATGCAGGTTGAAATGCAAGCCAGAACAATGAAAACATTGTTGAAGCCTGCTGAGAATGCCTGTCTTTATCTACATATCTAAAATGTTTCCCTATTGAATAACGTATTTTCCCATTACTTCTACATTCTATATCAATAAAAGAACTAGATGTGTGTAGATGCTATGTTAGATATTGTGGCTAAGCTTGTTAGTGAGGGCGTCACTTTCCTGCAGGACCTTGTTGTTGGAACAGCTGGGATTTGTGTAATAATAATGATAATAATAATTTTATTATTTACACCCTGCCCATCTGGCTGGGTTTCCCCTGCCACTCTGGGCAGCTTACAGCATATCTCAAAACATAATAAAAACATCAATTGTTAAAAACCTCCCAATAAAGGACTGCCTTAAGATGTCTTCTAAAAGTTGTGTAATTTTTTGTCCCCTTGACATCTGAAGGGAGGGCCTTCCACAGGGAGGGTGCCACTCCCGAGAAGGCCCTGGTGCAGACCTACACAAGTTGTAAGCCATCAAGCTGAAGAAATCGCATTAGTCCTATAATGTTGCGGACAAGGTGCCTGTCATTAGTCCCAGGAAGGCAGCTGTTGTCAAACTTTTACAAGAGCTCTAGGGAGGAATTGCTCCTCCAAGTAAGAACAGGAGCATGAAAAAAAACACATAACCACCATGTAACAAAAGTAGAGTAATAGAACCATAGAATTGTAGAGTTGGAAGGGACCATGAGGGAGTCAACTAAATCTCAACTAACGCACCCTGACCCATGGCCATCCAACCATACATTGTATAGAAGGCCTTGAGTGCTGCCTTTCAGAATCAGTTTGCCACATATACAATGACAGCAGCCTTCTCTTCTCCATTCACCAAGCCAACTCCATTTTTGTCTTCAAACCCAGCTCTTCATGAAAGCATTTCTGGAGCCGCATGGCTGTATCTCCATTGCTGTCTCTTCCCTATGCCTTGCTCAGCACCCATTTGACAATCTCTAGCATCTCCCTCCACTCCCGTCTAATATAGAGTGTATAAGACAGGATTTGCCAACCTTTTGGGGTCAGTGGGCACATTTGGAGTTTTGAGAAAGGGCCATGGGCAAGGGTCACAGAATGGCTGCCATGGCTGGTGTAGCATAGCACAAAATGGGTGCCACATCTAACAGATCAGAAACACAGGTAGCACCACTGAAAGGTGTGGGCCTACTGCTCATCAGTCTCCCATCAGTGGGAAAAAGGCACCTATTTTAACCACCACTATGCTCATTCACAAAGAGATGCTTTTTTTCTGAATGGAATGAAGGTGGGCTTCAGTCCTGGCATCCAGCAAAACTTGGGCATGTCTGACAGGGCATTTTCAACATAAGAGGCTAAGCCAGTGCAAGCAGGCACTCAGCAGGGAAGCGCAAACTGTCTCATGTGCACCATGGATTTTTGAGGATATATTTATTTATTGAATTTGTATACCACCCTTCCTCCAAAAGGAGCCCATGGTGGCAACTGAGACATTTCATGGGCGCCATAAGAGGTACTGGTAGGAACAATGGCACCCATAGGTGTCACCTTGGTGACCACTGAATAAGCCTTTTAGGTTTCACTTTTAGGTTCTGCCAGCTAGGACCAACAACATGTAGAATACTGACTGGCATGATGATATTCATTATGCACTTCTTGCAATAAAAGTACTATATACAACTGATGAATAAACATCCAGTCCTGTGTTGTGATTTTTGGAGAACAAAACATGTTGCTATAGTCAGTTAGTGACACTGGAGGGCACCAAAGTGCCAGCTATTGGAAAACTACATAGCAGGTGTACAAGCCGAAGCTTCTCATTGATCCAATGACCATTTCATACATTTATGCAGCAACAAACCTCAGTTTGTAACCAAAAGAACTCTCAGAAGGGAACCATAGCCAGTTCTGTCTCCTTGATGGATGGTTTTACATTTTTAAGGTATACACCTAGATCATCATACGGATATAAACACCCCCCCCCAAAAAAAATGACTGCTAGAGGCAGGGAATCAGCTCAAACCTTTCAGAAGTGTAATGAAGAATGAAGAATATAAAGGATTAAAAGTTTTCTTATAGAGTTCTAATTTCTCAGGGATCTTGGTGAAGCTGCTAAGACCACAACTGTAGGAGGAAGCAGTTGTACAGTGGAGAGTTTCTAAATATTACTAATGGGAAGTGCTGCTGGGGATAAATATACTGTTACCTACATGCACCTCAGTCACTGAGCAGTGAGAGATTTCAGGGATGCCAGCACATACCTTGGGTATATTTTTCTTGAAATGGCAATGCTTGGAAATGGAGGCATTGTCTGTGATACAAGGTTTATTCACACATATAGACAGGCTGAGCATAAGATGGAGAGGTCACAGCATTAGTACTGTAACAGATCCTGTTATAAAATCATAGGGCTCAAAGGGATCCCAAGAGGACATCCAGCCAAACCTCATTTCTATGGCACTGTGTTGTTGCCATCAACATATGCACTTGTGGGCAGGGGGCATAACCACCAACGAGCCATTGCTAACAAACGGCCATTAGACAGTTCAGTAGATGTATAATTTCTGAAGGAGTTCTACATCCTGTGTCAAAGATGTCACTGACCCAGTCGCAACAGATCCTGTGACAGATGGGGGTCTCTATAGTTTCAGTCTGCATCTTCTCTGGCACAATGTGTAGCTGGTGATATAGATTTGTCAGAGATCTGGATTCAGTGTGTTCCATCCCATGTGGCATTTCTCCTATTTGAGAGCACTGTGTACCACTGACATTATTATTTATTTACTGAGTTTCATTATTTTATCATCAAAACAGGTGACCCGCAAATATCAATATGGCCTGTTTGTATAATACTCATGGAACAAAGAAGAAGAAGAAGAAGAAGAAGAAGAAGAAGAAGAAGAAGAAGATAACAACTACGAAAATCAATATATGTGCACTGTAAGAACTATGCAGTAGGAGGTACGGGATTCAGCTCTCCAGATTGCTATCAGAGGTGGAAGCTATCGTTGAGTGCACTTCATTAATTTGATCTCCTTTTTGTTCATAATAATCTCATGGCCTCATAATAACCTTAAAATATAGGTTATTATTGCTGAGGAATTTAGGGTGGGACAGTGAGATGCCAAAGTCCCCAGCTGTGTAGGAATTTGAACCAGAAGGCATGTCCACACAGCACATGCTCACTTTAATTTGCTATGGAGCCAACCCATTCCACTTTATTTAGCACCATATAATATATCAAGACACTAGCTCCCTAATAATGTTCCAGTAGTCAACTCATTCCTTTGCCTCTGCAAGATGGCTGGGCTACTCTTGTGCCTGGCTATGGCTCCTAGTTTCCACCATCCTCCTCCATGTCTGCTTTCCTTGTTTAAAACACAAACAGTTACTCACTCAGTCACAATTGTCCAATTATGCATTCTTCCAGCTTTTGAGTATTTTATTTCTCATTATGAAGAGCATTGTGGCTGAATAAACACTATTATGTGAAATTTAAATAATGATAAAAGGGGGAAAATACAATCATGCCCTGAAAACTGTGATTGCATCTGCTCCTATTGTATTTTCATATTTCTAATCATGGCGATTATTGAGGTTGAACCTGAGCTATCAAAGCCCCCTTTTGCAGCATTCTATGCATGGGAAACGAACTCATTTTCAATCTGGTAGGACACGGGCCAAATTATGTCAGGAGCTTACAGGGATTCATTGCTGATTTTAAGCAAATGTACCTGGTAGTTTATGTGGCACATCTGAAAACTGATACAAGTCTGCATACAAGTTGCATGAATTTGAGGAAGGTCTGGCTTCAGGAAACAAATTCCAGAGGGGGAGCCATGCTTTAGTGATGAAAAACAACACCCCTGAAAGATACTGTACAGAGACAGGCATGGATCAGGTTGTCAAAGAGGAAAATAGCAGGGATGAGGTAGAATTCTTGTTCACTTCAGATTTAAAAAGTGAATTTTCCTAATCTATACTTTATGAAAAAAATACATGAACTGAAACACCATCCTTTGAAATTTGCACTTCTCCCAATTTTGTGTACAAAAATGCATATACAATACTAAAGTTTGCCTATAAATGTCCATATTAGCGAAGCCAACATACAAAAGTGTTATATTAGGATGGGTGGTGATTGGAACGGAATATCTTGTAAAAACAGCATGTTAGAGGCTGGCTGAGCCCCTGAACAGGAGCTCTCCATGCTGCCATGTTTTGTTACAAGTGTCACTGTTTAATTTGAACTACTTTCCATCACCACCCACCTATTCTGCTTTCAATATCACTGGCAGAGATGCTGCTATTTACTCTTCAGAATAATCAGTAATCCATAGCCAGGATAGTGATGGAAATGAGTGAAACCAGGTTTGGAGAACAGAGAAGGGGACAGAGTAATTAGAAGAAAGATGAGATGGGGGTAGATCAGGACCGGCCCAAGAAAGTTTGACACCTAAGGTGGATCTCAAGATGGTGTCCCCCTCCCTGCCAGGGAATAACGTGTGAGAGGAGACCATCAGGAGCAAGGCGGGGAAAGGAAGATTGACACCGGAACCCTGCCACCCGAGGCAGTCACTTCTCTTTGCCTCATGGGTGGGCCGGCCCTGGGGTAGATCATGAAAGGGATAGAACAGGGAAGTTTGGGATAAAAAAGCTAGAAGATTCACCACCCCCAGCTCTGCCAGAGGCAGGGAGCACAGAGTCACTAATAGGATGGCAAAAACTAAAGTCACCACAATAGACTCAAAGGGCCATGTGAATTAGTTTCGGTAAAATCAGATTGATCAATGACTATTTGGGGATGGTCAGTTTCTTAGTTGCACAAGTCATCAGATATGATGACCCAAACACAAAACAAGATAAATGGAAAACATCTTTGTATAATCTGCACCTGTGTTGTTTCTGTCTGCAAGTCTGTTCTTATCTTGTCCACCCCTTTGCTGGCACAGACATTAGTTCAGGAAAGCTGAGATGGAAGAGAAGGTAATAATAGGCTTTGTTTAGGGAACCTTGCAATCTTTCACCCGGGAGACATTTTCTTTGCCACTTAATTTCCTTTGCTGTACAAGAGGCTGCAGCAAAAGTGACCAGCAGGTATTCCTACGATGATAAAAAAAAGAGGAGAGACAGCCAATACGAGAGGTGAGTGTCCTACCTCCCATTAAACCCAGAATCATGCTGAGAACCATCCCAAAGGAAGTGCAGTTCTATGCCAAGCAAGACAGCAAGCAAAAAAACCCCGAGTTCGAGTTCTGTGGGCAGGTTGCTGCCTCATGATTTATCACCCGAGCCCTTGGAAGCTCTCGAAAACCCGGGGCCTAAGTGTTCCTGAATAGTGGCATTAATTACTATTAAAAACACACATTTATATCTCTCTCACCTGCTTTAAATCCTGTGAAATTAGATTTCCCACCCCTCCCCTCCAGCCTCAGTGGCAGCCTGGGGTGCTTTATGGGCCTATAAAGCCTTACAGTGCCTGCAGCCTCTACCGGCTTTTATTTATGAGGCCTATAACAGGCTTCCTGGCTCCACTATCAGTGTCCCCTGATGATTTCATTTCAGTTTCCCTCGGATGAAATGATTCCCCACAGCCTCTGCGGCTCTGAGAGTTTTCGGAGGCCGGGGAGCATAAAGGGTATGCGGAGCCAGCAAGAGGCTGAACAAAGTGATTTGCTGCAAGCGCCGGCACAGAGTCACTTAGAGTGCCACAAACACACTTGGAGTGTGTTTAGAGTGGAGACTTGTGGTTACCTGGCAATCCTTTACTATCAGCGGCAATGGGAGTAAATGTTCTGCCTCCTGCCTAGATTAGATTAGGGAGGCTCAGGAGCGCCTGCTCTTTCCCCTGTCGTTCCTTCTAAATAGCAAACTTGGGAGGGTGATTGCCCATCAGTTTGGAAGCAAAATGGAGGACATCCCCCCCAAATAAGGTAGTGGTTCCTTTAAAACTTTGGCAGTGGGGGTGTGTGTCCTGAGTATGCATATTTGTAAATTAAAAGGATTTTACAATAAAGCACCAAATGGCCTCCTCACAAGGGCCTGCCAATTTTGCACAGAAAATGTTGGCGTCACTTCAGGATAGGAGATGGGGGCGGGGGAAGAAAACTGTAGAATTTGCCTGCTCCAAACCCCTAGCAGTCTATAGAAAGTAAACTGGAAGGGAGGGGGATTTGAGATGACAAGGAAAAATCCCTTGCCAGGACTGCAGGTCCCACTTGTTCTATTTTATTATTTACTTACTTAGATATTTATTAAATCTATATCCCGCCCCTCCTTCCAAATGAGCCCTGGGAGGCAGACAACAAGTAATAAAGCGTCTTAAACATTCCAGTACAGATGCAGACTGGGAAAGTTCTCAGCTCAAAAGTCTTCTGAAACTGTAGTTTGTTAAGGGTGCTGGGAATTACAGCTCTGTGAGGGGAAAACTTCAGTTCCCTTCTTTGAGGGAAGTCATATGCTTTAAATGTGTGTTGGATGCGCTTTAAATGTGCGGTTTGGATCTGCACCATAACTGGTTTTGGTGAAAAGCAGCGTTTGCATGTTTTCATGGCGCTTCAAAAACCAGCAACATCTGTTTAGTCAGATGGTGGCGGGAGGAAGAAAATAAGTTGTTTTTGCAATCCATGGCATGGTAAGGGTTAATTTGCCTGTAATGGGAGAGCCTGAGAAAACAGCCTACCCTGGAGTGAGGCTTCAATGGACTTCTTCTTGCCTATGATAGCAACCTGTGAAAAGTGAGATACTTTTTGGGACTCATTTCTTTAATTTTTCTGGCACTTGTTATGACCTCAGAACACTTCCACTTCAGACCTTCTAGACTCTCCCTGGGGAATTGGCCACATTTGTGCACAAAAGCCAGCCGCCTAGATGGAAATTGATAGATCTTTGCCTCCACTCTCCTCAGGCTGAGCATGTTAATTTATAGATTGGATCTGTCACTCCTGATATATGATATCCTTCTTCCTTAATGCAGCCTTCAAAATGAGTTTTTAAGACTTGGTCATCTGGAGAAACCGTGTGTGTGGAAGGGGCAACTTCTCTTGCTTTGAAGCATTCAGAATTGGGTGTTAACACAGTGGTTAAGAGGAGAAGTTCTTCGTTCAAACTTTATCTGACCCATGGCCTTAAGGAAGTCACCATCTCTGGGTGCCAGCATCAGGGCTGGCCCTACTATTAGTAAACTGTTTCGAGGTGGGTGTTGTTGTTTTTTTGCAGTCAAGTGGTATATTAAATGCTGTGAAATAAAATAAAGAAGTCAGCCTGCCTCAAGAAGCAGATGCTGAGGGCTGGGGAGTGGCCAGCCTGCTAACCTCAGGTGTGGTAGCGGATGCCATCCTGGCACCAGTGTTAAAATAAGTTTCAACTGCCAGCCCAGTCAGCTTCTGTATCTGGAGTGGAAACGGGTACCATTTTGTCCTTTGCTTCGGGGAGCAAAGTATCTTGGGCAAGCCCTGTTTACTGTCCCTCCCAGCGATATGTAACTTAGCGATAATAACATAGGCCTACTGTAACATGGCAGCTGTAGTGATTTACTGAGGTAATGTATGGGAAGTTTTTTTGGTCTTAGGAGCCGCTGGCAGAGCTGCTGCTTATTGGGATGCTTCCGAGCTCAGAAGGCCGGGACGAGGTCAGAAGAAGAAGAGGAGTTTGGATTTGCTGTCCCGCTTTATCACTACCCGAAGGAGTATCAAAGTGGCTAACATTCTCCTTTCCCTCCCTCCCCCACAACAAACACTCTGTGAGGTGAGTGGGGCTGAGAGACTTCAGAGAAGTGTGACTAGCCCAAGGTCACCCAGCAGCTGCAAGTGGAGGAGCGGAGACGCGAACCCGGTTCACCAGATTGCGAGACTACCGCTCTTAACCACTAGACCACACTGGCTCTCCAGGGTGGCATTCCCACTGGTGCACCTGCAGCACCCTGACTTTGCTGCTGTTGTGCCCCACTCTGGCCAGCGGCAGTGGGGCTTCTGTCAAGATGCTGTTTATGTGTCCACATTCCACCAGCTGCTCTAGCCTGTTAAGCACCCGACACATCACTTCTTTCTCAGGCGGCTTTGCAGTTGTTGGGTGGCTACACCTGCTGCTGAACACCAAAAATCGCCTGAAGTGGAGCTGAGGTGTATAAAATGGCTTGTGGTGAATGGTCAGATACCTGTTTGTCACAGGCTGTGGGGCACCATGAGTAGGGTGCAAGTGGTCATCACAATCTGAAAGGTCGAACTGTTGGCTCCACAGTGTGCTTAATAGCTGAGCAGGGTTTGGGGGTTATGAGGTCTTCTCCTTGCCTTGCTGTTGCAGTTAGCTTTATTAAATCGGAACCCCAAAATTTGGGATCCCCATCAGTTTGGAGGGGAGCCCAAATTTTGGGGTTCCGATTTAATAAAGCTGCTTCAGTTTCCTGCTGTATAGGCTGCATATCTGGTGGGTAGGAAGAGTCTTTAGCAACCCTTCCCTTCCTGCAGATCTTCCCAGCAGCATCTGTTTGCAGAGATATTTACCTTTGCAGATATTTATAAAATACATGTACCAGAATTGCTAACACTTCACTTCCCCCACTTAGGGCTTCCCCCACACTTCACTTTGAATGCCCCCACTTAGGGCATTCAAAAGGAGTGAGTAATCCAAAAGTATATAGCATAGGTAGGCAAACTAAGGCCTAGGGGCCAGATCCGGCCCAATCGCCTTCTAAAGCTGGCCCGCGAATGGTCTGGGAATCAGCGTGTTTTTACATGAGTAGAATGTGTCCTTTTATTTACAGTGCATCTCTGGGTTATTTGTGGGGCATAGGAATTCGTTCATTTTTTTCTTCAAAATATAGTCCGCCCCCCCCCCCCCGCAAGGTCTGAGGGACAGTGGACTGGTCCCCTGCAGAAAAAGATTGCTGACCCCTGGTATATAGTGTCTGGTTGGGCCATTAAAATTGATTTTGGTCACTATTTTTTCTCTCCTCTAGGTGGCACCAACAGTGCTTGAAGGGTTTCCCCAACCTCACCACTATGACTTTCACCATATCTCTAGTACAATGATGTGGGCTTTTCTGGGCACTGATAAGGGTTATAATGCTCAGACAAGAGCTTGTGATGCAGATGGAGCAATTCTCATTTTGGCTGGGCAAGGACAGGTTTTCTAACAGGATCATGATGGTTCGGGCATGCTCCACTTATGGGAGAGATTTAAACTTGGCTGCCTCAATAATGACATTTTTACTCCTCATGCTTTTCGGAAGACTGTAAGATCTTTTGAAAGCTGGTGTTTTACTTCCCAAATGTCTGTATCTGAAGGGCATGAACTAGTGTTAAGAACAAATTAAGCACTTAGCAGCAGCTAGTTCCCACACTAGGAAATAAGTACCACATTTATTAAACAGGTACAGATTGAGCCTATGCTGTTATGGGAAGCATTCAAAATGACATTCCACTTCAGGCAACAGAACTTGTTGACTCCTAATAGCCTGGGTAATTAACATACAGAATACCTTTCCAAATATATTCCTGAAAAACAGGAATACAATTATGATGTTGGAAGTTCCCAGTTCCTTATTTGCATGAAAGTTCAAAGCATGGAGCTCAATCTATCAATTCAATAAGGAACTACAGTTTATATGCCTATGATCTCCAGGATAAGTTTTGACTTACTCCTTAGCGCCTGCTTTCATGACTGCAGGACTCTCCTCTTTGGAAATTGACAAGGCAGTCATGAACTCTGAGTAGTCACAACTCAACTATTAGCGATAAAGGCTGTGTACACACTGAACATTTAAAGCACATTGCATCCTGCAAAGTATACTGGGAACTGTAGTTTACCCCTCAGTAGGGATGGATCAGTCAGTTTTGGTTCTCTCAGTTTTATCATTTTTCCAGTCTTAAGTTCAGTTGTCCACATTTCTGTAGCAATCTGCTTTTTTAAAAAAAATCTAAAAATTCACCAGCGTTTTAGTGTGAAATTCTCCTAATTAATACATTTTTGTATGCACTTTGAACCATCAGGTTCCATCAGTCTCTGAGGGCGGGCTATCTGAACAGACCTTGCAAGAGGGAATTGCTGGTACTAATATAAACTTCAGGTAATGGTCCAATTATGACAAGGGAGTGTTTTGCACACCCCTACCTTTAGTTCATCTCTCATATCACTTGGGGGTAAAGACGACATCAAGCATATGCCTGCTTAGTGTGTTGGACCAGTGAGCATCTGAGACACCCACTATGGTTGTCATGGAGGCCATGAAGTCCTGTGCTGGTCCAGTCTCCACATGGATGTTGAAGTCACACTGAAGTAATAACCGGGGTCCTCCAACACCTTACTAGAGACCACCTCGGTCAGTTCGATCACGGATGCTGCTGGGCAACAGGGCTGTTCATACACCCAGCAGCATTCCCAATCTGTCTCTCTGGCCCCAAATCAGGTGCAGGTGCCCACCCCAGGATTATGAGTTTTTCTGTAAAGGAGATGGTCTTCTATGGGCAATAGTAACTCACATTGTACCCCCACCCCCCAGCCTAGTACCTAGATGGGCACAGCTGACTTAGGTCAGGTCAACCCAACTCACCCATTCAAGTCTTGGCAATACATGCCAAGATAGCCTCTTCATCCGCTATCAAGTCGTGAATGAGCATGGTCTTATTCTGGACTGATGTGGTATTCGGCAACAGCACCACCAGACCAGAGGTGAAGTCTGCAGGTGATCCAGAGTCTGCATCAGATGTTCATTATATAATTTATGGCACAAATGAGCCCCACAGAACGAGAGAGCTCCTAGGTGTACCACTATGTGGTTTAAGAATCAGGTCTAGAAAAGGTCTGATTCATAGGGGATTCGCTCCAAACTTCTCCAGGTTTAGCATTCAGCCTGTGTTTTGAACTGTGTGACAAGGCTCAACGCTGCCTAACAGGGATTGATGGCTTTGTGTTTCCAGAGCCAACAGTGTGTGATTGCAGCTCCCAGCCGAACAGTGGTGGTGAGAAATGTGGGAGAGGGTGAGAAAAGGGATGGTTTGTTCCTTCTTTTCCAACTCTCCCTCCCTATCGCCCCACATTCTCAAAGAGGTGGGGATTTGGGAAGGTGTTTGCCAGTGAAAGTCAATGCAGTAATGTCAGCCTGACAGGAAGATGCACATTGAGAATGTGGCGGAATGGCCAGGGCTTTGTGGGGTAGGGTTTTGAGTTCCATCCAGCCTGTCTGCCAGAAAGCTCTGCAGGCATTTGTTTTAGCGCAATGTTGAATTCTTCCCCCTATTACTGTACATGTTCACCTTCTGGGGCTATATTGAGGTGATCCATACTTAGGGACGGGCAAATCTGTCAATTTCTCATTTTTCTGATCTTAGGTTTAGTCCTCCACATTTCCACATCAGCCTGGAATTTTTTGTAATGTCCTCATGAAAATTCATCAGCAATTTAGTGTGAACCTTTCCTAATATGCAGTTGCTTATATGCAATTTTGTCTAATATACACATTTTTGCAAGGCTATTTCCCCTGATTTATTGCATTTTTGTATGTTACCTTCTCCAATACGTGTATTTTTATGCACACTTTACCCTAGAGTTGGAAAAGGTTCATAAAATTTTGAAGGGTGGTTGTGTTTTGGTTTCTGTATTGTTTCAGAAACTGTGAATTAGTTACTGTAGGTTCACCTTTAAATGTGAGTTGGATCAAATTTCTCTATCCCCATCACTTGCCATATCTCAGATTAAGCATAGCACTTAGTATTTTCCTCTTGAAATACAAATGAAGTGTTTTGTTGTTGTTTTGTAAAATTTCAAAGTACAGCATTATTGATTAAATTTATTTTAAACAGCTCTATACTGTCCTTCATCAAGTTGATTCTAGGGTAGTCTGCTACAGTGCAAGGGATAAAAACCCAGTATTTTCAATGCAACATACTAAAACCAAGCACAAATAAAAATAGTAGGTGACGGATGAGAAGCAGTACTAGAAATGTCTGAGTTAATAAAAAGAACTTTGCTTGATGCCACTATCTTCCCTTGGTACATGCTAGCAAAGGTGGGATAACCAGTTCCTATGCAAGCTGAGGATTTATTCAAGCCACGTAGACATAGCTGGTTGGTTAGTCCCACTACTGTATATTCAGAGTAAATATTGTAGGGAAAGCAAGGTGCTGTGCCTGTCTAGTAGTACATTTAGAAAATCTTGGGAATTGGTGTTGTGCCACAATTTGGTTCTCTCTGAAGGCCTAGTTAAAGTATGGTTGTGGCTGTCTCCCAGATCTTTCAAAATGAGACTGTTTGTAATCCGAGTCACTGGACAGAGCCTCAGACTGGACAGAGCACATGACTGACTCAGACTTGATGAGTTGCCATTCACACATTAAGTAATTACGTGAATGGAGAGAAGTAGCAACAGAGGAAAGCAGGGCTATTTGGATAAACACTTCACCATCACAGTTAGGTGTTAACTCTGAAACCTAATGAGAGAGCCTTGATAGGTACCTTGCTGCTAACCATGTTAAACACAAAAGCAACAACAGCTTTCTCTTCTCCAAGTGAGCAAGCCTTTTCAAGATTTCTTAGCAGTCATGTCCCTGACAGTCTGGTGCTCTCTGGATATTAAATCTTGCAGCCGACTTGGGGGGGGGGGGAGGGAATCAAAATTGGGGAAATATATTCAATATATAATTGGCACCATCAATCCATTTGTTCTTTTATTTTCATTTTAACCACAGCTGCTCTATACTTTACTTTCATTGAGCTGAACACTGAAGAATACAAAGGTCTGGTTTCAGAATGTAGCCCATGATTTGCACAGAGTCCACATGGTCTTAACTACTATCACATGTTTTCACATTAGAGGCAGAAGCTCAGGCGCTTGAGGAAGAATGCCCAAACTGTTGTACCCCAGTAGCATGGGTGTGTGTGTGTGTGTCTATGTATATACCATAAGACATTGCACCCCCCAAGATTCTTCCGATAAGACAGAGAAAATGTCTCCCCTGGGGGGGAAAAATCTGTTCCCTGGTGTGTTATGCCAACGGCTGCAAGAGCAGTGATGCTGTCTAAAGGAGGCAGGCACTGTGGGGGCTGAGCCCGGGGGGGGGGGGTGAACTGCTGAGAGCATGCCAATGAGCTCACCTCCCTTCTCCTACCATTCCAGCCGACTGCACAGGGGCATTATCACCCTAATTATATTTGTACTTTTTAATCTCTGGCTGTCGTTGGAGTGATGCTGAGCAGCCTTGCGCCCAGAATATTAACCACATCATTATATGGGGGAATTAAAAAGCCCAGGCATCCTGAGAAAGAGACAAAGCAAGGTAGATGGCAAGACCACAAAGAAGCAGTCAGGGTGGAGGCAGACTTTGTAAAGTGTCTGTAGGTAAGGAAATGGATAAGAGATCAAGTCCTCCTTCCTTGATGGGCAGAGTGGATCGCAAGCTGGGGGAGATTAGTTTTTGGACTGAAGAAAAACATGTAGCTAGTTGTAGGTTAGTAGTATCTTGGGGCCATCTATCCTTCTGAACTTCCCCTCATCCCTTTGTTCTTATGGGCCACTTTCTATAGCCATTCTTCTTTTCCTAGGTCCCCCTGCTGCCCTTGACTGGCTAGTTTCTCAGGACGCTGCTTAGCCAGTCCTCTTTCCCTTTAGGCCTTTTGCTCACTCAGGTCTGCAAGATCAGAAGAGCTCAGCCAGTGACATATAGCAGCCCATGAAGAAGTAGTTAGTGGGGTGTAGGGATGCACAACCTCTCTTATTTCTACCCCATGTTGGTTTATTGCAGATGCTTTTAGCTTACCTTTGGAGTGTTCTGCATTGTTTTTCAACTACTGCTGTTCTAATGCTCTATTTTAATCTGCTTTTAATGAACATACACAATGACCTGTATTGTTATAAAATGCTGCTGTGTCAATGTTTTAATGTTTTAGTTAGTGCTGTGCCAGAAAATAAATTGCATTTGCAAATTATCCAAGGGGACAGGAAAAAAACGGTTGAATTCTCATGGGTGGTGTGCAGAGTTTTTGTCATGCTTACTTTACTTTCGAGGGATATTTGTAAGAGCCCTTCCTTTCATTCAATAAATCATCTCATCAGTCCATCTACAAGTCTTTTCACCAGTTGTCTGCACTCGGTGGCCTTCCTGGGTGCACGTGCTTCAGTTAAAGCCCAGGCAAACTCCTTCCATGAAGCTTTTTTCATACCAGAAATTGTGGGCAGCCTGGGAGGCTGCAGAACATTTATAGGAAAGGTTCTGCATGCAGGCTTCCCACAGGCATCTGGCTGGCCACTGTGAGAACAGGATGCTGGACTAGATGGGCCATCAGCCTGATCCAGCAGGCTCTTCCTATGTTCTTATGAAATACACTCTCTTGGACACACAATGTTGGCCACTTTGCAGTGATAAGGTAACCCCAAGACCCTTCAGCCACCCACAAACTCTGAAGTGCTTTGAGAATGAGGCTGAAAAGCAGAAGCACATTTTCAGGGGAAGAAAACTTTCAAGAAACTGGAGGACAAATTGTGGCACAGCACTAATTTCAGTATGGACCTGTGCTTTTTTTTCTTGGGAGGGGGGAATGCAGGGGTACACATACCCCTAAACATTTTGTGAATCTAAGTTTGGCCTCATTGAGGGGCAGTATTTCAATATGAGTAGGAAAATTAGAGTATCCCTGAACATTTTTTTAAAGAAAAAAGCACTGGTATGGACTATGACTTATGTGATATTATTATTAATTATGGAGGGTGGTTTGTATTTTACTATGATGCAAACTACCTTAGGAAAGTTAGCCCTGAAAGACAGCATACAAATGCTGCAACAAGCAAGCAAGCAAGCAAGCAAGCAACCTGTATGTGTTGTTGAGGGAAATGGGAAGCATTAAGAATCCCAAGTATGGGAGGTCTCTGTCTGAAACATGGGCATAGCCAAGGGAGGGGCAAGGAGGGGCAGCTGTCCCCCAAATCAATAAAAATACATAACAAACTGAGGTTCTGTCCCCCCTAACAAAAGGCCTCCCCCCCCAACAAAAATCCTGGCTATGCCCATGGTCTGAAACTTATTTTTAGTTAAGTTATCCTTTGGTGTTTGTCTCCAACTGCAACAGAGAGGCCCCTCATTCCACTGGAGGCATCCTTCCCTTGCCCAGCCTCTTTTCTTGTCCCAACCTATATGTCCCCTGGTGCGAAGGCGCCAAGTGTTAATTCCGCACTAACAGGGCCTTTGTGAGCCTAATTGCCTGATAAACATAATTGAATCTTATGGATTGCCCTGGTGTTATTACATGAGGCCATTTAAGGGAGTTAATGGGAGCGGAAAGTGCCGCTGTAATTCCTCCTGCCCTTGCAGTAGCATTGCAGAGGCTCCTTGGGAGTTGGAGGCAGGCTTTGCCTCACTGCAGGCCATCTCTCTCTCTCTCTCTCCCTTTGTTGCGCTAACCTGAGAGAGAGAGAGAGAGAGAGAGAGAGAGAGAGAGAGAGATAAGGTCTGCTTCTGGATTATGACAAGAGCGCTTCTTTGTACTTCAGAGCTTCTCTGTGACTCATTGAACATTTGCATGAGAACTGATCTCTTGTAAGAACCCTGGAATGAAGCAGGCGACTTGTCCTCACAGAGGGGGATGGAGTGCCCAACATGGAGCTTAGCCATGCAAGTTGTTTGGATGACACAGTGCTTTTAGCCTGCGTCTCAGCGTCTGAGGCAACTTCTTCAGGCAGACATCTATGCTTGTGTAGTTTAATTTAAGCCTTTTTATAAACGAGATCTTTCTCTCCTAAGTCATCCTTACTTTGTTCAGCATTCAAATGCAAACCCCAAGAGCTAAAACCCAGGGCATAGGATCTTCTCAAAGAGCTAGCAACAACAACAACTATTCTCATTCTCATCCAGGCAGTTGAAGTAGAGCCAGCAAATCAAGATTCTGTCATAGCCAACCCACCTTCTGGGGAAAGGAGAAAAAGTCTAGGAACAAGGCAGACAATGGGTGCTTCCAAAGTAGGAAGAAACATGGGCTTGTGGTCCAGATCCACTCTTTCCCGTTATGCGGTATGCTCCAAAATGGTGCCTGCATGTGCATAAGAGGACTTGAACTCCTGCCTGGAGGAGTGCCTGGGAACTGATAGTAGTTGCTGCCTATGCCTGGTGTGATGCAGGGAGGTGCACTTGGAACGTGTCCCCCAAAAGAGAACACCCTTCACCTGAAAAGAGGATGCTGATTTGCATAGGCTAATTTGTAAGTATAGGTGCTAATCTAGAAATAGCTGCTATAATTTAAAAAGAAGTACAATGCATCTCACCATAGTGAGGAAGTCTATGATCAGATGACTGATGTTTCTGCTCAGTGTGCTGTCCAGGTGCTGATTGTTGGACAGTTCCAAGGCCTCTTCTGTTTCTTTATTCTTAAACTAGACTTAGGCCAGATAGCCCTTCAAACAGAGGACACCTTCGAAACAGAGGACTGTCCTCTGTAAACTATGGCACACAACTACCCTAGTATCCCATTAACCTGAATTCACCAGCTCCCACCATATGTGAGCATCTTTGGCAGCACATCCCAGGAGTGGTAGCAGGGATATGGGGAGTGCAGCTGTCATTTTAGAGCCATTCAGGGATTTTCTGAGTGATATGTTTCTCCCTCTCCTTTCAGGCTGAGCATGGAAGTGATCAGAGGTGGTTTTAGGGCAGAGTGACTGTTACCCCCAGACTGGACGCTGAGTGGAGAAGGTGCCAGATAAGCATTTGCCCAGCTACAGGAACAGGGTGTGAGGGCTCTGACAGGGTCCTAGAGTCCTTCCTCCTTCCTAAAGCCTAGTTAGCACTTGCCCAGCTTTGGGAAGGAGGTGAGAGGGCTCTAGGACCCTAACAGAGCCCCACACCTCATTCCTAAAGCCTGGCATGGCGAGAGGGTGCCAAATTTTGGCCTGGCTCAGGGCACCATAGTATCAAAGTCCACACCTGAAGTGATGGTGTCCCTCCCCACTGCTCTCTGGGGTATAGAAGAATAGGACCCGCAACTTAAAGGATCCACAACTACTTGATCCACAAGTTAATGGATTGCAAACTGCGCTTATAGGAAATTCAGGATTAACTTGCACAGCACTCAAAGGATAGATGTTTGAGAACTGTACTCTCCATCCCAGCACTATTACTACAACCTGAGTTTGTAAAAGAAGACATACAGGCACAGAAGGATAATTATGACAAAGGCTCAAAGATTTTTAGCTGTGATTCCCACATTGCAGGACTTTGGATTAGATGACCCTTGGGGTCCCCCACAACCCTCCAATTCTATGATTTGCATAAAACCCAAGTCTGTAAAAATGCAAAAATGACTGAGGCACATATGAGACTGCAAATTCCGATATGCTTTAGTCAGATGATACAGCTGGGAAGAACAAAAGAGAACCGAGTTGTGAGCCAATAGTGGATGAAACAACAGAGAATGCAGATGTATTTACAACAGCCTGGGGTGTCAAAACAGAACAAATGAAGCTGTTGCAGTGGAAAATGTCAATGAAACTTCAGAGGGTGTTTTGAAGTTGGGCACAGATATCTGTGATTACATCAAGAGGCGAAGTGATGAAAACCTATTAGTTATAGAAATTAATGTTTTCTATAAAGGGGATATATAATGATAGTAGAAACTAAAATGCTCTGTGAGTAAATGGACAGAGAAACACCAGCAGAAAATTAACACGTAGGACAGCAGCCATTCTGAGTGCTATTGTAATAAGAGTTGCATGACATTAACATTTGCTTGTTTCCCACTTCAGTTTGGCATCAAGGCTGCAGTAGTAAATATTATACCAGAGTTTTCCCCATTGAGGCCCTTGAAAGCATGCAGCCAAGTCCTCCTTTGTTCCATTCCCACCAATCTGGCTTGTGCCATGCCTAGAATAAATGTAATACCTACCAACTGGACTAAGCCACTGGGAACTTGATTGGAATTTCCTGACAGCTGGAGATTTATTAGCTTAGGCCAAATCTTCTTGGCCCAGATTGCATCAGGCTGATCTCTCTGAAGGAGAAGAGGAGATGGCACTATACCCCAGATGTGGGCACAGATGTTCCATTTGCTACTTGGACGCCATCCTTGTTTTGGCCTCTGTCAGTTCCAGGAACGGACTGAATTTCTTGTCAAAGTACATCCCAATGTCAATGCTGAATTACTCCACGAATACTCAAAACACCTCCTTTGCAATGACTAAATAAATGAAGAGGGGGAAGATGAATGTGTTATATACACATCTGATACCAATCACCAGAACAACTCATCTTGTTTTATTTCTGGAACAAAGTAACAGGTGAGGCAGTGGGTGGGGAGCATCTCCATTCTAAAGCAGATTCACATGATTTCTGCAGTGTATGAAGCCACTTGAAACAGCTACATAGAGAAAAGCTGCTAGCACAAAGTAGCTCCCCACACAGTTTGGACAGTTTTAATTACAGGTAACTTGCAACTTACACACATTTAACTTGCGCACACTCAGCTTTACACGCTTGGCATATATATATATATATATATATATATATATATATATAAATATATAGGCAGAAAGTGGGCAGGCATCTGGGGAAAAATATTCCAGCAATCCCACCCACCGATGAATCCAATGTGTTTTAACTATACAGTATGTGGTTTTGCCTCTACGCGTTATCCTTGGAACATAACTCCTGCATAAGTTGAGAGCAGCCTGTATATCCTTGCAAAGTTGGGTTTTTGTGTGTGTAGATGGTATCCATACTAACGAGAAGCTGCTTCCCACAAACAGAGAATTTCAGGACACCTTTCATCTGCCCCAGCCACAACAAAACATGTCTCTCCCATATCAGTCCCTACAGCCGCAGCAGGCGCTGTAACCTTCCAACAGTTTGACTTCACCCCCAGAGGCACACCTCTCCATTGTCTCCCGAGGCACACGGATGCCAACAGCAAGATGGTGGTCAAACCAATGAGAAACTACTTCCTGCAATGTCATGAACTGGCATGACACAGAGGAAGGGGAGGAAGATCCCAGTGAGAGTTGCAGCTGCAACTGGTATATACCAGGACTAGCAGGCCTTTCCCCCCCCAGCCGAACTCAGTTTTGGCACCTCTCAGATGGGTGCCATTGCCATTATAAGAGAACAAGGGAGGCATTCATGGTGAGCTCTGGCACCTTTTCCCCTAGAAAAATAGCACTGTGTGTAGTGATTGTGTCAAGCTTGCTACAGATACATTTACACAAGGAATATGAAAGCAGTTCATAAGGAGAATAAGGCAAGGTGTTGCTTTTACTAGCTTAAGTGGAGATTGCTCTGCTCCACCAGATTAGAATTATCCAGCTACAACAGATGATCGGAATGTTGAGTTCTGGCACCTCCTTTTCTAGAAAAATAACACTGGTGAGGAGGATGTTGTTACTCAGTGGGATTAGGCTCAGACCAGCTGAGGATCACATTTCGTCAAGTGGAGAGGCACAGCTGCTCAGCTGGAGCAAACTCGGGTGCATCAATCAGGATTGGGAAGGATAAAAGCAAAGCAAGTCTGCTCAGCTTTCTCCGTTGATGGACCATGGCTTGACTGCTTTGGGAAGTCTACTGGGTGGTGACTTTGGGATTGGCTCCAGGTATTCCAATCCTGGATCTTCTGCAGAGGTGGGAACCTGATCTTATGGATTGACCTTGGACCTTGCTCATTGTGTTGGACCTGGACCACTATTTGATCACTTGGACTGTCTGACTACTCTTTAGCATTGCCCTTGGGACTGTATGCACTCTCACAACACACAGAGAATGCCACATAATTATGTTTCAAGCAACTTAGCAATGCCACAGTACAGGCCTGTGCAGAGAGGGGAGGAACCGGGTACACTTGTCCTGGGCCTTGGAGCTAAGCTGGCTGGGGTTTCCTGCCAGGGACCAGCTGCTTTTTTGTTTAAGTTTATAACTTTATTCTAACCAGACTCCCACCCTGGGCCTCAGACAAGCTCTTGACAGGCCCACCACAGTGGCAGCAATTCATGTACCTCCTTCCTTCTTTCTCCTCTTCCTTCTGGATCACAAAGAAATTGGTGCAGCTCTCTTTTCCAAATGTTAAGGTGTTAATTCTGTTATGCCAGAATTAACTTCTCTGTGTCCTGCCTCTGAATTCACTTGCAGCAGAATGTAGCAGAGACAGAAGGTGTGTTTGGCAGCCAAGCACTTTGGGTATAAGGGGGGAAACAGGCCAGCAACCCAAAATTGCACAGCTACATTACATCTTCTTACCATATTTCAGGTACAAGTAGCCAAGCTGTAGCAGCGCTAAAGAGCTGTCATGTGGTGGTGGTGACAGCCCCCCTTGTGATCAAAAGTTCATGGAAAGCAATGCAGACTGCACTGCCTCTTCATCATTTATTTAATAGCATATTGTGCAACAGCCTTCCAGTTTTATTCTTAACGAACCTTTGGTTTTCCTTCCTTCCTTTGGTATGTCACTTTCAGCTTCCAGATCTAACCTGCTGGCCTGGACAGTGGTTTTCTCAAATCTCATAGTGGCTCAGCACTCTTTCATGTATTGGGTTTTCCTTTATCAGAGAAACCTTTGGGAATATTTTATCTCCAAAAAATAAACTGGTCTTTGAAGATGCTAGTTGCCATGGCAACCTGCTTCTTTAAAGAGGCACTTCTTTCCTTGCTTGATGTTGAGAGTTCTTGTTACCATAACAACCAGGCCCTTCTCAAACCTTGGCTTGGGTTCTGTGTTGGGTTGCAGCCCCCAAATCAAGGGCCCTGTGACTTTCTGAGAAGAGAATCAGAGATCTGAGTAGTGGTGGTGGCATCTCAAAAAATAGATAGCTCCACAGCCTCTTCCCCCATGAACCTTAAGGTCGCTGTCTCCTGAAAAGAACATTTCTTGCTCTAATAACATTAGGATTTAATCTGACAGGACTACCATCTAGTTCAGGGCTCCTCTAGGTGACCTGTTTATTGAGCATTCATCCCGATCTGCTTGCACCAAGCTTATGTGGAGATTAGTTTATATCTGCTCTTTATTGAACATTCAATCTGATTTGTTTGTGGAGAGGTTGTGTGACAATGAACATTCATCCTGATTTGCTTGTACGGTTGTCAACGCATGTGCCCATTAATCATTTGTTCACTCCACACTTTTCAGTGCATCTCCCGTCACTTTCCTAACTGCAAAAAAACTGTTTCTTTCTTTTCTTTTTTTTTAGTGGATTTGTTGTCCTGGGACGACAGAGTGATTTAACCCCTTTAATTGTGCATACCTAAATTTCTGGTACACACTTGAAGCTGTCGTGTAGCAGTCTGGAGGCACCCATAGATACCCATTCCTGTATATTCAGATTTTCTCATGGGGTTAGCATGCTATTATCCTGAGCACTGTATGAAACTACGTCAGTTCTCAGTCACTATAATTTAGCAAATGTCAAAGAATATTTATACACATGTTTTTATATACAGCTTGGTTCCAGCAGGAGTAAAGTGGTGCTGAGATGTAGGTAGAGCACCTATGCCAATGGGAACAACCACAGGCTATTCTCTAGGGCCATTATGCTTGATAAAAGATTTTAATGTTAGATTCATAGAACTGTAGAGTTGGAAGAGACCCTGAGGGTCATCTATGTAAACATTTTTAACCAAAAGCAAACTACCCCCTCCATTCCTATCTCCCCCCACCTCTCATTCTATATATGACACTTCAACAAACGAAGTACCGTATTTTTCAGTACTGGACATACAGCCTAATAAATAAGGCAGTTTCTTGAAGCTTAGACTTCAGCTGGGGGGAGGGGGGCAACTTGGCAGGAGATTGTGGACACTATGGCACCTGCAGGTGCCATGTTGGCAAAAGCACGTGTTGGCAATACAGGGGCAGAGGAAGGGGGTGCGGTGGGGGCGGGTCGCCCCCAGCGTCACCACTGGGTGTGTGTGACAAAATGCCGGGCAGCACTCATCACGGGGCCTGCGGTGTACCTGAGCCACATGTCTCTCCTGGGAGTGACGCAGTGGCTTGGGTGCCTGCAGGCTCCGCGCTGCCCCAAACGGGCCGCCCACCGCCTCCCCCTCACCTGTAGGGCGACTGAGTGGGAGGAGGCAGGCAGAAGCCTCGGAGGCCCCGTGGAGCGTCCTGCCATGGCTGGCCTCGCTCCGTGGATGGCTGGCCCTGCCCCTGGGCGCAGGGCACGCGTGCCAGCCCAGGTGCCTGATCGGCTTGCTCTGCCGCTGTGGCAATACTGAGCTAGTTTTTTTCTCTCAGCATAACATTGGCAGCTTTCATAAGCATAAAACTGAGAAGACCATATCTGCAATCTCATGCTTATTCACTTTGTTCGTTATAGGGAGCACCTGTTTCCTCCCTGTTAACATTTAGGGATCTTCTGCTGTCTGCTTCACCCCAGACAGGCCACATCAGCACACACCGTCCTCAGCAGCATTCAGAGAAACCTCTCTCAGCAGCTATTCTCTCTCTCTCTCTCTCTCTCACTCACACACACACACACACACACACACAAACAGAAAACAGTTAAAAACAACAGTCACTTGTATAACAGTCACAACAGAATGGAATGCCTGTCTCATGTAACTCACAGTCAGCCAATCACATGAGACTGGCCACTGCCAAAGGAAAGACCCCTTGCTAAAAATACACAGCAATTCAACATACGCAAACATTCCCATTTCAGGAAATTAAACCACTATAACAGTCTGTAGCTAATGGCAACAGCTGAAGAGGCATCAGCACAACCTTGTTCTGACAATTATGGGGCACATCAGCAACATTTTTTTTTGTTATTAAAAATGTTTTCATGTGTATTGATATGAGGGTCACACCATAAACTCAGGTATTTTACCTGCCATCGAAGAAGAAGGTAGACTGGATACTACAGATAGGTGTATTCAGAAAAGCATACATTTAGAAATACAAGCTGACTTGTACTTAAATTCTACAGTTCTCTTCATTGCTTTCACAGGGGGTGAAGGGTCTTGAAAAAGCCTCACCCACTTCAGACAGCCTTACAGCCCTCTTTGCTGCTTGAATGTGTGATCTTTCAAAAACTCCACTGACTTCAGACATCCCTGGACGGAAAAAAACAGAGACAGTGAAGGAGATGGCTACCATCCAATAGCATCATCCAGGCAGCTTCACTGTCTTCTGCCTGGCAACTTCACCCACTAAATTCAGCTTGCCAGCTTCCACAGGTTTCATCTGTTCATGAGTATCCACGAGTTGTCTTTAACACCTCACATTCATGCACATGCACACATTATTCACCTTGAGCACATTCACAGCCTCTCATTCACACGCAAAAGCATACTCCATCTGACATCTGTGAAAGATGCCAATGGACTTATCTTTCACTTGCCATTCGTTTGCATTCATGCCCTGGCTCCAACCCACAAATATCCACCGGTTTCTGTTGAGCAGCTTCTGAAGGTGAATCCCAACCAGCTTACATCCACAAATATCAGCCTGCTTTTAGCCTTCTGGTATCCACTGGCTTCTGGAAGCGAACTCCAACGGTTTCCACCCACCAACATCTGCCAGGTCCATGACTAGACATTAGCCAATTTCCAACCAAGCTGTGATCCCTGTCAGCAAGTAAAGTTGCCTTATTATTGCTCCAAAGCACCCGACAGCCAGATGATCGTCTCTGTCTGTCTGCCAATTCACCGCCTCCAAGGGGAAGTAGACAGGGCAATGCAGAATGTCACAGGTGTTGCCCACTGTGTTTTGTTGGGGAAGATGAAAAGGCACCCCTTTATATCCACCCAGCTGCCATGCACTTTTGTGATGGCACAGGTAGACTGTAGGCAATGGCAATAGCTGGAGATGCATCACAATTTTGTCAGACCTCACAGTTGTGGTTGCCCCTCAGCAGTGAGTGAGTGAGTGAATTATTTATTTATTGAATTTATATACCGCCCTATACCTTTGGGTTCTTGTTTATTATTAGAAATATTTATAGACCACCTGAATAAGAAATATGGATTTCATAATTAGAACACGTGTGTAATACAAATGTATAAAAGCTATAATTACCCATTTTCTGAGTACAGCTGGTGAGTCTGGTGGGACCCACTTGACTTGTGGGCTGTGGGTGTCCTACCCCTGCCATAAAAACCCAAGTGGTATATCCAACATTAGTTGCATTCGGAGTAGTCTTATTGCGTCAGTAGTCTTAGTAACTTTAATTTATTTTGATGGGTTTACTCAGAGTGTGAAATATTTGGATATCACTCCAATTATTAAAAGCACCAGCAGACAAAGATGTTAAAAGAAAAGATGACAAAAATACTAGTTTCACATTAACCCCCCCCCCCTGAAAAGTCTGAGAGCATTTCCTATTCAGGTGTATATAAGTATGATCAATATCAGTAAATTAACTACTATTCCACTTTACGCATGACGTACGATTATTTCTGGTGTCAGTATTCCCTCCTCCCCATCCTCCATTGGCAGGTGAGAGCTGTTCATAGAAATCAATGGATAAATCTGGAATTTTAGTGCGCCTATAATCACCTAAAACAAAAGGTGGTAGCAAAAGGTTGTGCTCTCTAACTTGGGCCTTGTTACATTTTAAAAAAATGTTTGTTTATATTTACCATACTTCTCCATTAAAACATGCTCAAAGCATGGTTAGAAAGTCCTCAGGTACAGTGGCAGAGGATGGGCACCTGCTTTCCCCATTTTGGTTTAACCAATTTCCTCCCTTCCAAAAGCTTTCTTTTAAAAAAAACAACCTGCCATGAAAAAAATGAAGTTTTAAAGCCTTTTCCAGGAAAGCGAAGAGAGAAAAGAAGGGATTATTGGAGGCAAGCTGAGGGGGGTTCACCCATCACTGAGAAATCCATGTAAGAGCTGGTGATAAGTATTATATATGAAACTGTGTGCTTTCACTGAGAGCCCAGAGATTTCATGCCCCCTTGCAGCTTATGCCCAAGCTCACCTCTTTGTCCTCATGCCCCATAATAGTAACAGTAGGCATTTTTCTGCAACACTTATTGTAAATGCCTCAATTAAGCAATTTCTCTACAGTTCATTGAACAGCTTCTGGAAAGAGCTCAAAGGAGTCTCTGTATGCAACGTCTCCTTCGTCTCTTTGGTCTCCTCCAGCCAGCTGTGATCAGCCTTCCACAAGGCGCCACAGATGGCCAAAGCCCTGTGTCCTTTCAAAAGAAGTCCTGAGCTTGGAGTGTCTCAGGCAGGGAAAACAGGCCATAGCGGAGCGCAAATACTATCTCCTTAGGACAGAAAGCTGTTTGATGCTTTCTGGTTCACTGCAAGCTGGGGACATGTGCCTTCTGGTCTCATAAAAGCCCCACTAATATTGTCAGCATTGCCAGATTATCACTTTGCATTCTTTGGCCTTGTTGATACATAATTCTAAACCGTGCTTTATGAAACCATGTCTTAGCGTTATGTCTGAACCCAATCTATATTTTGTGATTGCATTTTTGGAGGTAATTGTATTTTTAAAAAACTACTTTTAATGGTTTTATTTGATCATCTGCGGAAGCAGACAAACATTGGCTCCCTCGGCCTGTAAAGCGAGATGAGCGCCACAACCCCAGAGTCGTCTGCGACTGGACTTAACTGCCAGGGGTCCCTTTACCTTTAATACAGCTTGTGGTTAACTTGTATGTGAATCCTTAGCTTTCAACTGCAAAAACCTCCCTCCCACCCAATAATAATAATAATAATAATAATAATAATAATTATACCCCACCCACTCTAGGTGGCTTCCAGGGCATATAAAAACATAATAACATATTAGACATTAAAAACTACCTGATACAGAGCTGCCGCTTTTCTTGGAGAGAAGCCCCACAATACACTTCACCTCAGGAAAGTGCCTGGGAGCAGCACTTCATTTATTTAAAATATTTATTGCCCGCTCTTTTTCCCCAAGAACAGACCCAGAGAGGGTTATATCAAAAGTTAAAATGCAGCATATATTTCTCCCTTCTGTTTTATTATATATCACATCATTCTCCATAAAAATGAAAGCAACAACCACAGTCGGGCATTAATGTACAGCAAATGCAGGAAGGAAACGGTGCCTCTTCAGCTGATGCCTAAAACACATATGGGTCGGTGCCAGTGGTATAAATAGTGTAACCTGGTTTAACCCCTTAATCTATTTTAAGGGATGAAGGATTCCTGCTTCTTCCGCTCTTTACTTCCCCACCACTCCCCACAGTAATCTTTATGGTCATCTGCCCTCCTTGCTTCCACCACCAGCAGTTGCCAGTGGATGGAAGAAGCCCATAATCCCATTGGACAAACTGAGGACGAAAATGGGAAGGAAGCCCCTTGCCCCCACAATGAGGAGCTGCTGCTGTGGTGAAGGTTGGGGCACTTATAGACTGACCTCCTGCATTTCTTTGTTTTGGACAAAGTGGGGCATAGATCTGCATAGCATTTGGACATGCTAAGTTATATGTAGAGGTGAAAATTTGAGATCCCATTGCCCATTTATATGTATCTCATATTAGGACAATGACCCAAGAACCGGCATATTCTGCCATTGTCCCTGCATCATGCCCTTCCTTTTGCCATACACAAAGCATCATCCACCACTTGATGTCTTGTAAAGGAAGTTTCTTTTTCGCCCAGGCTTTCCCTGACCCAGAAGACTGGACGCTGTTATGACTGTATTCCTGTTTTTAATTGAATAGCGCTTTGCTGGTTTTTATGTTGTATTTTAACGATACTCTTTTATTGCTGGTATTTTTTTTAACAACCCTTCAGAGATTTTTTTCAAATATCAAGCAGTTTAGAAATGCTTTCAAACAAATAAACATTTAATTTAAAGGGAACTCTTGGCCATAGTGTGGAAGACCTGTGACCAGTTGACCTGGATGCCTGCTCAGTCTGTGGTCCAGGGGCTATTGGCTGATAAGCAGTTTCGCCTTCCCTTCCTCTGGCTCTTTTTATGTAAACCAAACCTGGACCAGACAATCCTTCAAATAGAGGACTGCTCCCTGTAAAATAGGACACATAGCAGTTGTGGTGGGTGGTGATGGGGTACTTGAACTCTTCTTTGCTCAGCAAACCCCTGCTGTCCGGACTGATGTAAAAACAGCAGTAAAGTGAAAGGGCCATGTAATCTCTCCAGCCTTTCCGCATCTTCTCCCACTGATGGCAACTCTGGTACTTTCTCCTGTGCTACCCAAGTTAGTGCTGCACTGAACAACCCAGAATTCTTGTGTATTTGCATAAATGGTAAAGGGACCCCTGACCGTTAAGTCCAGTCACGGATGACTCTGGGGTTGCGGCACTCATCTCGCTTTATTGGCCGAAGGAGCTGGCATTTGTCCGCAGACAGCTTCCGAGTCATGTGGCCAGCATGACTAAGCCACTTCTGGCGAACCAGAGCAGCGCACGGAAACGCCGTTTACCTTTCCACCGGAGCAGTACCTATTTATCTACTTGCACTTTGATGTGCTTTTGAACTGCTAGGTTGGCAGGAGCAGGGACCGAGCAACGGGAGCTCACCCTGTCGATTCGAACTGTCAGCTTTCTGATCGGCAAGCCCTAGGCTCTATGGTTTAGACCACAGCACCCCCCACGTCCCTTGTAAAACAGAAATAGGGACTAATGGGAGTCAGAATTCCATGATGCCTAGAGAGCCACAAGTTCACCATCCCTGGTCTAAAAAGTTTTGTACTTTGCATGGAGGCGTTTGATTTTTGTACATGTGTGAGTATTTGCATGCATTTAGAAATGGAGCAGCAAACCCAGTTCATTTCTACCGATTTGGTTTTCAGCCAACATGCTGCTGCAGTCATAGCTCTGCGTTTCTCCCCAGCAGCTGGAGCAGCTCTGCTTGTGCTTTGAATTCTCCAGCATGGGGTTTACCGACTGGGGCAGTAAACCTGGGAACAGCAGCAGCAGCAGCAGCAGCAGCAGGAGGGGGAGGAGGAGGAAAAAAACCCAAACCAAAGGTTTACAGATTTCTTTTCTTCACCAGGTGGAGCTCTTGCACCTTTAAGAGCATCAGTGAGAAGAAAGATTATTTCTGTTCTGTCCGCTTCTGCAAGTGCCTCTTCTCCATCCCACTGCAATGCTGCGATGGTCTGCTCAGCCACAACTATGATCTGCAACTGGGGCTCCCTTACTTTGTGTGTGTGTGCAGTACAGGGATCATGGTGGTGATTATGATCTCAGCTACAATTTCAGGTGGGCAGGGTGTCTACAGGATGAGACAACTAGAGTAATCTTTGAAGGTTATCAGATTGTTCTTCTCCAGGGAGAAATCTGGAAACCTGGCCAAATCACTCCTCCAGCCGCTTTTGGCTTTGCTTCAGAATAGATGGTTGCCAAAATGCACAGTGATAAGAGAAACTTGAGATGCCCTTTGAGATCTCTTTAGCCAGAGCATTGAATGTCTCAGCCCCTGTCCAGTGCTGCTTACTCGCAAAATGCAAAATAACCACATTAAGTCGATCCGTTTACAGCATGACTGCTGCTGGATGGTTGGAAAGAGACAATTGAAGGGTGGCTGGTGTGTTAGTTTGTTCCTTACCGCTACTGTCATCTGCAGGCGATAGTAGCACACAGAAAACCCCAGCATCCCCCCAGCTGCAGTATCTCTGTAGAGCTTTGTCTCTTCCTAGAATCCTACTGGTCCTGCTTGGCTTTATTTCTGGAGCAGCAAGACAGTGGAAAATTGAATCTGAATCCCTATGGATTCGTTTCTCCTATACTAGCTGCCATGGAGCCAAGACTAACTGAGATCGCATCCTTGGCTGCAGCAGTTCCAATTAACACAGCCCTGCTTGCTTTAGCAATTACCTGCCGATGGCTCACAGCCCGCATCCAGATGGAGATCAGCTGGCAGAGTTTTAAACAGGCAGGCTGAGGAGTTTGACTAACAACCAATCCTCTGAGGCAACTGTCTGTGGCACAGTGTTGATCTGGAGAAAGCTCTTTTCCAGACTGCACATGCCTGAGGTAACCACACAGTACATGCAGCCCCTCAAAATTACGGCAACATGCTCCATGTTTTTGCCTTTTAGAGAAGCAGATATTCTCCTGCATATATGGAAAGTTGCTTTGATATGGCCAAGTATTTCTGCAGAGGCTCAAATGACACATAAACTAAAGTACTCCAATTCTTTTCTGTATGGTTTTTTTTAAAAAAATAAACACAAATAGGCTGAAACAGGCTGCCTCTGACCAGAAGACGCAAATATAGGACATGTTCACTCTGATTTGTTAGCACAGAGATTGCTTAACCCATTCCCCTTCAGTCCTCTTCCAGTTCAAAATCACCCTCCCCAAGCTGCTTTTTCACATGCAAGGGAAAAGGATATGGGATCCTCATATCTTTGTTTCTGGAAGTGAAAAATAAGTTTAGGAGGGTGATTTTGAGCAGGGAAATGACAAGAGGGGGCAAAAAAAAAAAAGAAGAGAAAAAAAGAGCCATGTAGCATTCCCTCGTGTGTTTTTCTGTTCAGACAAGCCTGCTGGAGGCTGCTTTGGATTTAAACAAGTTTCCTTTAACATGTCAAAACTGGGGCTGTATGATCTGAACTGAGTAAAAGGGGCATGCTATAAATGACGCTTAGTTGAATGCAGAATGTGCTCTGTTCTTTAAAAAAAATACTGCTGTAGACTTTGAGGTGACCAAAAGGTAGATTGGGATTTACCATAGATCTCTGGGTGATTTGAAGTAGAGCGGCAAAAATTTCAGAGTCCTAAATATTGAATGATGACAACAATTAAATGCCCCCCCTCCCATTACACTTCTTGCATGAAGAAAGTGTTGTTTGTGTCTTTTCAAGCGGTGTCACCAGGAATGGATTTCTCTGAGCTCCATTCAGTTTGGGCACTTTCAGAATTGTTTAATTCTAAGTTTCTGTCTCCTGCACCTGACAGTGGTTCCTGGCTCTCTGGATTCTACTAAGAAACAAAGTAGATCCCACAAGTCTGTCCTCGCCTTGTAAAGAGGTCACAGTCTAAATCAGAAGATCCAAGAGGGTAGAGTGGCTTCTTAACAATATCTTCTCCAGATGTTTTCTCACTAAGATTGCCCTCCAAAATGCCCTTTCCCCACATAGGGCCTGGTATCATTTCTCACATATGAAGGTGGAGAGAGACAAAAGTGGAGAGAGACAGCATGGGTGTGTGAGAAGTTTTTAGTGGAAACTGTGCCCCACTGAAAGAGGAAAGGGTTAAGACGTTCCTCCTCCATGTTAGCGTAATGTGAACAATGAGCTGAATTGCACAGTGCTTGGTCTCATGTCTTGAGGAGCACATCCCTCACATCCAGATGTTCTGAGATAAGGGTGCCAGGTGCTTGGGTTACCATAGCAACACCAGTGAGGTTGAGTGTATGACTTGCTGAGTCATTCACCCTCTCATTGGTTCAGGAAATAGGCCTACATGTGGAGATGGGTATAATAGTCTTGTCAGTGCTGGTGTCCTCCTTCAGCAGCCAGCCACTCCTTGCAGTCTTCTCCCACCACCAAAACCCTGGCCCTGGTGCCTCCCACCACTCCTCTTTGTTCAGCCAGTCCCTGACAATTCTCTGGGGCATTTCCTTTCATTAGGTCCTGTCCTGTTGCACGTACTCTTTGCTGTCAGGATCTGACTTTGAATCTGTGTGAGATAGGGGAAGAGGCTGTGGGTTTTAAACAGCAACATTGACTAGCATTGTGATAGTTAGTTGGTCTTTCTGTACATATGTATCTTTACTTCAAAGACCAGAAGAACTGTATATAGTAAATCAGTGGTTCCCAACTTGTGCTCCAGTGGGGTCTGCATAACCCACCCAGAGGGTCTGTGGTACCATTTGCATAACAAAAACTACTATAGAGATATACTGTATATATATTTTCAAAAGTAAAGGGTCCATGGCTTGGCTTTTGGAAAACAGGCAATCCACAGTACTTAGCTAATTGGGAACTACTGTTGTAGATAGTAGTGTTTAGCATTGTCTTGTGTCTGGAGACAATATACACTTTGTTGCTTTGAACTATGTGGGAGAGGAATTTCCCCCCTTAACTGGGAACTCTGGAAGAAGTTGTTTTGCTCTGAAGACTCTGCTGGGGCTCCGCTTACTCTGTCGATACATCACTCTGGTTTAGGTGCAGTGAACTACCAACTAACTGGCTTCCACAAGTCACCAACACTTCATTCCATCCAGATCTTGTGCTTTAGATTGTAGTCTCCATGGCTGCATTTTGTAAATGAAGAAGAGTCAGGCACAAACAGCATACAGTGGTACCTCGGGTTAAGTACTTAATTCGTTCCAGAGGTCCGTACTTAACCTGAAACTGTTCTTAATCTGAGGTACCCCTTTATCTAATGGGGGCCTCCTGCTGCTGCTGCGCTGCCGGAGCAAGATTTCTGTTCTCATCCTGAAGCAAAGTTCTTAACCTGAAGCACTATTTCTGGGTTAGCGGAGTCGGTAACCTGAAGCATATGTAACCTGAAGCATATGTAACCTGAGGTACCACTGTATAACAGACAGCCTCGTGCAGTGCTTTTTTCCTGGGGGGATGCAGGGGGACGCATGCCCCTCAACATTTTGTGAATCTTTGTACTTTTGTCAATTTGTTGTATTTATTTCCCCTGATTTGAACTATAAAATGGTGATTTTCTTGAGTCAAAATGAGAGTACCCCTAAACATTTTTTTTTTTTAGAAAAAAAGCACTGGCCACGTGAAGTTGTCCCCTGTGGCTGTACCATGCCTGACCCCCACAAAAATTGGCTGTGTCTGGAAGCAGGAGGCCTAGACCCAGAAATGGGGCAGGGGGCCCTATATAGAAAAGGTGCTAAAACACATTTGTTCTGCAGTCATATCAATTTTCCAGCGACACGTGCGGCATCTGCAAAGGGTGAGAACAATATTGATGTAAGTGCCTGGTTTGTGCATTGAATAGGTCATAGGCAGATGATAGCACTAATCAAATATTAGCGTAATTAAACAACAGATGATAAGTTCTCCTTGCTGCACTAGAAAAATCACACCCCAGAAGGGAAAATAATCGCTTGGCAGACCAACAATATTGGTTCTGAATGACCTACATGCCCTCTAGTGAAAGTCCTAGGCATTTCCAAGCATTAACACAGAACAAGAATATAATCCCTTAGAACATACTCCCTTAGGGGTAGAGCTAAATTTATGCCCTGCTAACCAGTGCTGGTTGCTTGTAAAGGTGGAACTATATGCTATGATATACCGTACTCCCCCCCCGAAAAGTCCCATGATTCTTTTCATTAAGGGGTCTCTTGCATCAGGGAAAGCAGCTGCAGTTCCTGTTCAAAGCACTAGTGAGGGGAGGATGGGGGCCCTGTTTAACCCTTTATTTCCCATGCATATGTCAAGACCTTCTCTTCCACAGCTGCTTTTTTCCTCTCCAAATAAATACAAAGATAATGGGACTGGTATCAGGGGCATCTGCAGGATATTTGTCTGGAGTAGGGACAGAGGAAGGTGAAGCTGCTGCCTGCACCTCCAGCAACAGCTCTGGATCAAGTAACCTCTCCAAATGCATCCTTTATGGAGAAATAAGCACTCTTTCGTTCCATTCCGAAGCATGCTGCTTACATTTCCAGCAGCGACAAAGCCTTGTGGTGTATAACATCGCTTTAGACGGCTGCACCTGTCATCTCCTCAGGGAAGGAGCCTCACCTCGCAGTCTGCAGGGCAATCCTGGCAGACTTTTGTGTCTATGAAACTGCTGAGCACATGGCAAAACAAGAGACAACTTGTTTGCCTGTCTCTGCAATGGCAGAGTTGCAGAAGGAAGAGCAACGATCAGAAGCATCTGGGCCGATTTTTGTCAGCCCACCAGATGCCTTTGCGCCTGACTCACCAACTGTGCTAGCTTAGGGATTTCTTTCACGAATGAAAGATGTTGAAAGAATTCCAGGTGGTGCAGCAAAGCAAGGGGTTCAGGGGTTCAGGAGGAGGTGCTTTTTCCACTGGCTCAGCCAGCTGTTTCTATTACTCAAACTTCCTGATGATTTTTGGAACCTAGAAAGATCTCCTGATACTTATAAGAGCTGTAATCCCATGTCCATGCTAAAAAGGACAGGGAGGCAAATCATTCTACCAGCAGATGATATTTACAAGAAATATAGCGTGATAAATTGGAAAGAGGGAAGGAATTTCAGGCGCGACAGGAATTTCACTGGAAATATCAAGGTATTGGTCCCATCAGTCTAACACAGTGTCATTCAAGCAGTCACCAGTCCTGTCCCACCATTTTGCCAGATGTGGAATTAAATCATTCTTGGTTGCTCTTGATACCAAACCGTATAACTTTTTATCCGGAGATGCTTGGAGATTGAATCCTGATGTCATCTTATAACCCAAGGATGTGTACCAGAAAACTGGTGGGCAGCATTATTAAAGATATAATTACCAAGCATATAGAAAGATAAGTCTCGCTGAAGAAGAACAATCATGGCTTCTGCAAGGTAAGACCAGTCCACCCCCTCCTCATGTTCCACTGCGGAACCATCTACACTACGGAAGTAAAACTGAATTTACTACTGCTGCTCTAATGCTAAACACAGGGATGCAATTTCAGTTTATTATGCTTATTATAATTTATTTATTTATAATCTGCCTTTTTCCCTGACAGGACTCAAGGCAGCTTACTGATAAAAATAAGAACTGCTAAAAACAGAGAAAATGACTAGGAAAAAAACAATTAACCATCGATAGAATTAAAACGCTATGCATATATAAAATCTATGAAATCTTATCAAATAATCACAATAAAAACAGCATAGCACCAACCCTTTCATTAAAAACAGTCAGTTCCCAATAGCCTGTTGTAACAAAAAGTATTTGATTTCCGGCTGGTGAGTAAAAGAAAACATGTCACCTGATGTAATAGTATCGTCAGGTGATTGATGGCTGGGCAATGGGGATCAGGAGATCTGAGGATCTGACCTGCTGGCTGCAAAATTCTCCACCCCTGGTCTAAGTCAATGGATGAGTGGGAGAACACCAAGCGGGGGAAAAATAATCCTGCTATTTCACTAGAAAGAGCTGCCACCTATGGCAGCAGTGCTATGAAAGCAGAGATCCTTACAAGCTTGGGAATGTCCCTTGGTCTGCTCCTTGGGCAGACTGCTGAGCAGGCAGGTTGTGTCTGACAAACTGGCGCTGGCACCAGACTGATATCCTTCTTGTTCTTGATAAGGATCTGAAGCCTCCTTTGGGTTTCACAAGCAATTCTTTTATCCTTCCTGATTGTGCCTTCCAAGCAGTGGAGAGTCCCTGGAGAAACATCAATCCTGGGGCTGCAGGCTCTCTTGGCTGCTATTGACAGAGATGATGGAAAAGCTACAGGAGCAGCTGTCATTTCTTCCTGTTTGTGTTTTGTTCTTGGGCTATCAGCAGGACATTTTCCGCCAGACGCTCATCACTCTTCTGAAGTAGAGCTTGGTGCTGTCTTTCTGCCTGCTGAGAAGCAGGCTGGCCTAGAACCTCCTTCTGCAGAAGACTCCCACTACCTTATCTTGGATGAAGCTCTATCAGTTAGGATTTGCGGCCCAGAGTATCCTACCTTGGGTTGCCGGCCCTGCCATTGAACAGACTGAGGCAACCACCTCAGGCTTTCGGTGCCTTTTGACTGGACTTAACCGTCCAGGGGTCCTTTACCATTTACCTTACCAGCTCCAGATTCTTCTGATTAGTTTCCCATCAATCTGCTTTTAAAAAATAAATGCTTCCCTGGGTGTCTCCCTCCATCTTGAACAGAAATTTGGCATGAAAGATCACTGAGCTGGGAGTTTACCTCTTTATTTAAAGTAGTTATTAACTTCATTGTGAATAGCAATCTCAGAGTGGGTTACATAAAAAATTAAAATACAACAAATATATTAAGAAGAGAAGAGGAATAGATATATCACATCACTCCCAAACCACAAAAAAAAGAAAAAAGAAAAAGACACCAGACAGGAATCCTTATCCACTAATGACTGAGCAAGTAAGTGCATCTTCACCTCATAAGAATTAGTGCCAACCATATGTTAGAAGACAGGGAATTCAATACTTGAGGTGCCATGGCTGAAAAAACCTTCACACGTATCACGTAGTATATTTCAGATGGTCGCTGCACCACCAGAAGGGTCTTCCCAACATATTTTAAGGTGCAGGGAGGTCTGTATTGCAACAGGTGGTCCTTCAAGTAACCAGGTCCAGAGTTGTATAGGGCTTTATGAGTCTGCATTTGTGATTCAGAAAATTCAGAACTGAGCTTGGAAGCCACTGCAATCTTTTCAAAATGGGTGTCAATGTGTTCCTGATAGGCTGCACCAACATGCAGCCTTGCTGCTGCAGTTGCACAAGTTGCAGCTTCCAAACCAGTTTCAAGGGCAGCCCCACACAAAGCTCATTACAGTTGGAGAAAAGGTACTTCAAGGAAGATGTACAAATCCATATGCTTCCTCCCAACCCCACAGCAGCAGTCATTCTTTTGGGCTGTTTTGATCCTACTTCATACCCTGCAAGTATGCTGGGTAAAAACAGGACATCCCATTTTCTTGTGCAAGGCATGGCAGCCTCCCTACCAGTGTGCCTTTGGGGCTCTGTGATCTCGCACCGGTCATGTGACTCACGTGGGAGCATGGGCGGGAAGACTTTGTGTCCTGGTTTGGGGACTCAAGATGTTGGCGGGTATACTACTTGTGGCTGGTCTGTTTGGATGACAAACTGTGTGTCTCCTGTGGTGCAATGGGTCCATGTGTTTGGCTGTTAACCAGAAGGCTGGTGGTTCAAGCCCATGCAGGGACAGCTGTGGGCTGAATTCCTGCATTGCAGGGGGTTGGATGAGATGACCCTTGGGGTCCCTTCCAACTCTACAATTCAAGGATACTATGAATCCCAGTGCTCCTTGCTGGTATCAGATGCACTCACTGGATTATTGTGCCTGACACATGAAACCTATGATAAGAGGCCTCCTTAAATGAGGGGTAAGGAACCTGTGGCCTTCTAAATGCTGATGGGCTACAACTCCCACCATTCCTGACCACTGGCCATTGCTTAATGCCTTCTGTTTGCTTCTGTTTTGGAATAGATGCTTGGCTTCACAGAGCACCTGAAGGTGGATGGGCCTGATGGGGTGGTGGTGGTGGGAAGACCTCAGGTTGGCAAAAGTGATGGTTTTTAATCAGCAGGTGAACTTAAGCGCGAACTGATGTGCCAGCTCTCGAGTCTGTGCAGCTGAATTGAGATGCATATTCTGTGGCATGTTTGTGTGTTTAATTCCCTCTTTGAATTTTACAGGGAAATCCTAGGCGCTGGGCCAGAGCATGTCTCCAGAATGTGAAATATTCTGCAGAGTTGATCCCGTGAGCTTGAATATAGTGATGGTTCTCACATTGTTTAAAACTGTAGCAAATGTGTACGCATTAGGCTCTATGCATTTTTGTGTAATTTGTATTGGATTCTGAGACTGAAATCATATACAATTAACCAGGAGTAAGACCTGCTGAATTCAATAGGACTGACATCTGAGAAGACATGCACTCTGAGTGGCTTGGTTTGCACAGGATTTTAAACCATAATTTAAAATAAACTGCTTTGGCTCAGGTTTCATCTTGTCATGCTATTCCTGGCTCCATCAGTGCAGTAAGAGCTCAGGGCTCCTTCAGATGACATATTTATTGGCCATTCATTCCAATTTCCTTGCACAAAGCTTACGTGAATGTTAGATTATATCTGGTCTTGACTGAGTGCTCATTCCAATTCGTTTGTGTGGAGGTTATACAACAACAAACATTTTATCCTGCATTCATCCTGATTTGCTTGTGGAGCGTTTGTATGTCTTCCCACTTTTCCTTCATTCCACACTTTTCAATGCATTTCCCCATCACTTTCCTAACAGCAACAAATCTTGTTTCCTTTTCTGGAGAGCCCTTTAATCTGATTGAATTGCATAAACCTGCGTTTACCAGGATGCCCTTAAATCCCTCCCACAAAATACTGGCTGTCTGGAAGGTGCCCCTAGACTTACATCTGAGTCAACATACATAGGATCGTGCTGGAAGGCTGCAATCCTGGACCATCCACACACCATCATCTTTTGCATTTGCTGTGGGAACATACACTGTGGGCTAGCAGTGAGGAATATAGCAGTTATATAGTGCCACAAGGAGCCATGGTTTTAATTCTGCTTCTAGCTGATGGCAGAAGAGCAAGGCCTCAGCAGTGCTTAAGAGCCCTAGTGTGGAAAGGTCCTCTGCCTTTCATTCTGACATGTTCCAGTCTTGTTTAGCTTGCTGGCTCTTGAAGTGGCAAAGAGCTGATGTCTTTGCAAGGAAAGCAAATCTGAAGCCCATTGACCTTGCCTTTGCAGGAGCTACAAAGGGGGGCACGAGGCTGCTGCTGCTTTCCATTGCAGTCCACCTGGAGCACTGCTTGGCTGAGGAGTCTGAGCGCAGTTCAGTTGCTGCACCCAGCAAACCAGATGCTGCCGCCGCCGCTGCTTCCACGAGCCCCAAACTCCCCAATGCAATTTTATCCCAATCCGTCCCACCATTACTTGTAATTAAACAAATAAATCTCCATTCTAATTAATATCTGCAATGGGATTTATGTGATGAGCCACAGCAGGATGCGTGTTTCCAGTCAGTTGCACAATTTATTGCGCCTTGTGGGTAAATATCGGCAACCTGAGTCAATAAACTTAATGGTGACGGAGATCTCCAGCCTCTGTCTTCCAGGACTTAACCCTCTCCTGGTGTTTTTGGTCCTTCTTCTTCCCATTCTGAGCCCCCTTTTGCCTCCTTGCATGATATTGGAGTGTATATACTGGAGTGTGCTGGCTGAGGGCTAATGAGCAGAGCTTCATTCAGATAAGATGGAGGTACTGTTTGGGGAGGGTTGTTCGTGTGACTAGGGAGGTGGCATTCAATGTGTTCTGGATGGGACCCTCCTTCCTGTTAAGGATCAAGTGCACAGTTTTGGAGTGCTGTTAGATAACAAACCCTTACTTTGGGTGCTCAGATAGCATCTGTGGCACAAAACAGCTTTCACAAATTTAGGTTGGCGAACCAACCACAAAACCTTCCCCCACCCAACAGATATAGTCTTGCCATAATTATGCATGCTCTGGCAATGTGTAGGCTAGGTTTCTGCAGTTTTATTACATGTGCCTTGCCTCTGAAGACTTTGAAAAGCTAGCCAAGTAACATTATTCTGGGAGTCCCCCTGGCTGCAGGAAGCTCTCCAATGCATGTCCTCTATAGGAGCCAACTCCTAGGGGCTAAAGGGTCTTTGCCCCAAAAAATATTTGAGGGAGTGGCCCCCCCAAAAAGGTTGAGGGGAATTGCCATTCAAATGGTGTGTGTACACTGCATCATATGATCAGTTATGTGGGGCAGGGCTTACCTTGCCCCCCCAATATTTTATTCAAGTTGGCACCCCTGATATCCTCTGAATGTTCACAAGCCCTGGTATAGCCACAACCAACAGGATTACAGCAGCAAGTGTGAAGAAACTCTCTCAGGAGCACTGTGTGTGACAAAATAAAGGCAGTGCTCTTCCCACTTCACTCCCTGACAGGTTGTTCCTTTGCGTGTTACAGCAAAAGCTGGCGCCCTGTGTTGCTTCATCACTTCTTCTCTGTAACATCTAGAGGGCGTTTATGTGCTTGAAAATATGCGCCCAGGAGAAGCCTCGGCCAATGACATATCTCTGGCATAAGTCTGTCTAATGTTTTCAGACACACACTCTTCAAAGAATATTAAAAAGAAGAACTGAGCTACAGTAGCAATTCAGAGACCTACTTTTTCAGCAATTGTGCGACGCACCCCTTACAACCTATTCACTAACCATTGTTCCTGCTTGCCGCAACCTACCCTTCACTTTACTTCTGCCACTGATAAGTTTTGTTGTCCCAATAGCCTTTTGCTGCTCACATCTCCTGTTGTTATCCTTACAGCCCCTGCCAACGAAGACCTGCATAATGGTTTGTTTCATAGCCTTTTCAGAGGCAAAACCGGAGATTTTAATCAGACAGAAGACATTGCCCTATTACGATCTATCTTTGATGCCGTGCGAAGAAAAGGTAACTTTCGCTTTAGACGGCTCTCTATGGAATTGGGCAGCACTTCTTAATAGAAGCCCTGGAAAATCCATTGCTTATTATTTTCAGGATTATTTAAAGACACTATACCAAGTAAACACAACAAACAAATAGCCATTACTTTTTTTAAAACTGTAGCCAAGCTGGTAATAGTGTGTAATTGGTAAAGCATCTGTTAATGAATACTGTAATAAAATCTAGAAGCTCACAAAAGGAATGGAACCTATACAGGAATGCAGGGAGCTGTCTTCTGCTCAGTCACACTGTGGTCTATTTAGCACAGAATTGTCTCTGCTGACTCACAGTAGCTTCTCAGAGAGCATCTCTTACCTGGAGATGCTGCGGGTTGAACTGGAGACCTTTTGCAAGGCATGTGCTCTACCTCTGAGCTATCATCTAAGCAGAGTGGAGGAATGGTAATATGCAGGTGTCAATAGCACAACAACAACTACAGTAATGTTACACAACACCCCAATCTCCAAGTGATGAGAGAATCCAGGGGTTCCGGGCGCTTACCAAGGTTTGGCTTCCTTGGAATAAAAGTCAGCAAAGACCAGAGTACCTTTAGGATATATGGTTTTGTTTACACATATATACAACCTGAGCATAAGATGGAGGGGCTCGCAGCATTAACACTCCAACAGATCTTGCTTATCAATTTGTCACAGCTTTGGATCCAGAGAAGAGCACGCATGTTTCTGTGTGCCCAGCTTCCAGTCTGCTTCCAGCTCAGCTAGGTGAGCGGGCTGAAGGAAAGGATCACCCGCTAGCTTGGAGGGCACCATCACTTAGTTGTAGCTCTTGCAACCTGGTTCATTATTTTGGGATGCTGATGAGGACACTTAAGTGGCCAGCTAAGGTCACTGTCTCACAAAAACACTTGTCCGACCAGTTCATCAACCTCCTCTATTAGATTCTAATCCTCAATGGGCACAGGACTCCAAGAACGGGAAGGGATGCAGAGCATCAATCAGACTGGAACCACCCCCCCCCCCAAAGAAAACCCCTCACCATCATAGTCATCATCAGAATTTGAACCTGAGCCTGGAACTTAATGCCTGGATCAAACTTAGACATGGCATATGGCAGCTACACATCATATCCAGATTGTGGCATGGGGTGGGGCTTTGTCTGCAGTCCATAGACACCAGTACTCTGATTTATAATAGCATACATGGGGGGGGGCACCAGATTGGGAATCATGACAGGGACAGAGGACTCAACCCCATCCCTTTATTCCAGCCTGGCTCATATGTGTACCAGTTTTTTCCTTCAATAAAAACCTTGCCCACCAGGGCAAACTGTGTGACAAATCTATCATCTAGCGGCTGCTGCTGTTGCTCTCTGTGTGGATGTGGGCGACTGGCTCAGATGTTTACATGGTGCGCATGTTATGATCCAGCACTCCAGGGATACATTGGCCCAAATAACAAAATGCATTCTGAACATTGTGCATCTAGGTAGATTGCCTGGGGGAAATTAACAATAAGGAGAGTGCCCCGAGGTCATTTAATTGTGAGAACATGTTTACCTAAGCAATTGTTTAAGGACAGTAAATGTGAGGATGAATATCTGAATAAGGCTTCAGGAATGCTAACTAAGAGGAATGTGATTGTTTTAAGAGTAAGAAGCGGCAGGGGAGTGGGGGAAGGGAACTCCCTAGGACAGAAGTTGTGGAATTATCCTGCAAGGTGAGTGTCCTAGATCAAGCAATACTTAAAAATGAAGAAAGGCACATCTTGGTTTGGGTTCTTCACGCGAACAGGATGAACAAATTGAGAGGAAGGTTGCAGTCCTAAATGCTCTCACTTGGGAGTATTTGCTTTTGAATACAGTGGAAATGACTGACTTCTGACGAAATATGCAGAAGATTGCACTTTAATGCGCTTTTCTTCTTCTTCTCTGCATTCTCTGACTCTAAGATTGAATTTGCTATATTGAGTTTACATTAGATTAATAAAAAGCAAGAGAGTGATCACAGGAACTCACTACCCCAGGGCCTTAGTCTGACAATGCATGATCCATCTCTGACCTGGATAAGAGAAAGCCCGATTCCGATTCCTTGAGTTCCAGGCTGGGAAAATTGTGAGATAGAAATAAATTACAGCAAACGAGCCCCCTGCCCTGTAGGTAACAAAAAGACAAAATCACAGGAACACAATTTAGCAAAAATGAAAGTAATACTGCTATAACCATGGATAGAGTAGTAGAAGAATACAGAGAACTACAAGCATTACAAGCCAAGGCCATGATGCAAACAACAATACGGATCTGCAAATAAGATCTTTAAGATGGCACCTCATTTCATACTACTTCAAGCCACCAGTGGGATAATATGCACAGGTGGCAGCCTTTAACCCCAGCATTGCGCCAATGATTCTTCCTAGATT